TCGTTTGGTTTCAAACCTCAAGGTCGGGAGTTTGAATCCTGCGCTGTGCATTCTGGACCCACCATTCTTAATAGATACCATACTTGCATTGTTATAAAAGTGGCTTAATGCCATGTTTCAGCCTTAGATGCAAGTAGGCTACATGTATGACCCATGGTTTGAAATTTACATCTCATGGAGTCTTATACCCCCTTCACACTGAACTAGTTCGCACTACGTTCTGGAGAACGGAATATGAACGGATTGGACATAGACACCAAATACAAACTTAGTAATGAACGGTATGAATGGGCAAGTACGGGAATGGTGGTACAGAACGTCAACCATGTTTAAAATTTGATCGCGTTCTACCCGTTCAAAAATAAGACTGGGTAAGGTCGTATTTCGAACGAGATCGCCATACTGGAAACAGAATTGCCATACTGCGAACGTCCTAGAATGGGTTCAAACTTTTCTTTTTTTCACTGCTAACGGGGGGGGGGGGGGTTAAACGGGTTGAGGACGGGTTGGAAACAACATTGAAGGTAATGTCTTCCCGTCCTAAACAATCGTGCAAACGACATACAAATCGTCTGCAATCGTAATGCACTTACCTCAAAAAGCCAAAATCGCATGTTTGAACCCGTTCTCATCCCGTTTCATGAAACTTTCAGGACGGGCAGGAACGTTCTTCGAACTAGTTCAGTGTGAAGGGGGATTTATGACCATACTGTAGGTTTACAAATGCATTATGGACCCTTCTATGCATACTACCAAAAAACAAAGAGAAAGGAATAAAAAAAATGGGGTTTATTTCATCTTAATGTTCATGCATTCTCAACCGACCATACTTAGACACACCAAGCTTGCATCGTTATAAATGTGGCTTATAACCAATGGTTTGAAATTTACATTGCATGGTGTCTGATTACCAGATATTCGCAATACAATTGCATAATTTGACCTTTCAATGCATAAAAGACAAGGAATAAAGAGAAACAAATAACAAAAAATGGGTTATATATCATCTCAATGTTTGTTTTAAACACTGGTTGTTGTTTCCATTTAATGTATGTTTCTCCAGTTTGATACTGTATAATTAGTAATTTTTGGCGAAGTAATTTATGATGTAAATTTTTCACCTATTGTTTTATTATGGTTTAAACAAATTCTTGAGCCAATTCATAAATTTGAAATTAAGCTGACTTTTTATGTATCTTATATATATTTTTACTAATAACTTATAGTTTCGCAAGAGACTTTGAGCTGTAATGCATTTCTCTCTTTTGTTGGAACTGGATTGGACAAAAAAGAACTGGTAAGTGCAATAACTGATGTAACAATTAGTACAGTAGAACCCCATGGATAAGTATCAAGAAGACATTCATAAATCAGGGGTGGTGGTAGTTGTGATTTTGATGGTCATTATTAATAACATTAAATTGTTCGGTATTTTCCGCATCTTTTCCAAAGTCGTGCTGCGGATAATCTCGCCAGTTGAATAAGGTGACTCCAACACTGTTCTGTTACCTTAGAATGAAATAGTACATTTTCATGCTGATTTCCTACCAATTCTCAATGTGTTGTGTTGTCAGTCCATTGTGCATACCTCAATGGGAGTGTTGGCCCTTATCCGCATTTGTGCATGTACTGTGTCATTATATCATATGGTTTTATTTGTCTTCATTAACTGTATTTATTTTTTTTGGTAAAAAATTCAATAGCTAACTATATGTATCATTGTATTAAAACATAATTATTTATTATTATTTTATCACATTATATAATATTATAAACATTTATTATTAAAGTACATTGTTTGCTGTAATGTTTTTTAGTGAATGATCATGATGGCTCATATTTGCCAGAAGCACTGTCTTCATACTTGTCTGTAGGCTGGGTTACAGGCTCTAGTAACTGTCTCTTATACACATCTAGATGTGTATAAGAGACAGGAATAAGGAATTGCTGCTAGAATCTGGGTTGTGTCTTATGCATGTATGTATGTTTTTAATGTTGTAGAGGAATTTCACTAAAACCATTGCTAAACCACAGATTATTTCTTCCCCTTATGAAATTTTTTCTTGTAAATTGGGTGGATTTCTCCAATCTGGAAATTATAGAAATATATGTCAATTATGCCAATAGTTTAAATTAGAAAGATAGTAATCATAATGATAATGATAATATATGGATAACTGACAATTTTTAATTTGTTTCTTTAATGTAGTCCAAATCTTTCTGTCGTTTTACAGGGGTAACCGCTTCTTTAGAGGTAGGCTACCTTTTGCCAGAGAAAAACTTTGAAGTTGTTGGCGACGACATTAATGGCAGGAACCACAATGGCCCAAAAAGGGCAAGACTTTGGAAAAGCCCAGAACTACTAATGAATAAATTCACAATATATCCTATGGGGCAATATACTGATTTAACGAAAGGTACAGTATTTGTTTTACAGATTAGGAAACTTTGGTCTGCCAGTTAGAATGAACTTAAATTCTTAATTTACAGTGTATCTATATTACATGGCAGTTTTGAGACGACTTAGAAGTAAGGTTGTTGTAAGCTAGAAGTAACCATTTGATTATTTGTAAGTCATGGGCAGTGCCTATGTAAATGCTATCTATCCTTATACCAGATAAATTACTCTTTAGAAATCGTATAGGAGAAACTTTCTACTTCTTTTTGTACTTTATTTATTTATTTATTTACTCTTTCTTTATACTGAATCGCATTCTCATTTCTGATTTCTGGTTAAATTATTATAAAACTCATTGCAAAATACACATTGAAAAAATATATAACATTTACACTTTATTTTACTTTAGGTTTAGGTATGTAGTGTCAATCATTTACATAAAGAAAGATGTTATTTTCTTTTGTGTTACTTGGCATTTCCTTTGTCCCAATCTTCAATAAGCAGCTCTCCATTGATATTCCCTGGTCCCAATCTTCAATAAACTGCTCTCCAATGATTTTCTGATTCACAGATAGTGGCGTAAAACTAAAAATTTCTTTTTTAAATCTAGCTTTCTCAACAAAAAAAAAAGCAGAAAAGATAATACACTCAAGAATAGTGGTGGGCTATTACATTTACAGGGTAAAAAAAGGGTGATATTTCAAATAGCGATGTACAGGTCTAAAATGAAGCGGTTTATTGTCATGAGCATAAGAAAATCTGTTTTTAAAAAATGGGACAGTGTGGACCAAAAAACGAATTGAGGGGACAGGGTTAAAATTTGTGGAAAAGATCAAAACTTTTTTTTTTTATCTGAAGTCATATTATTATGATATTGGTATATGTATGTTTTTGAGGCCACATAATTGATTAGTGGTGACAGAGGTACTCAAAAATGTAAATATAGTGGTCAAATTTCATGTTTTTTTATGCATTACAGTAAGAGTACAAGATATGTACTGTACGGAAGGAAATAGGTACAGTTTGTACCATTGTACCAATAACCATTTCCATCAATTCATAAAGCATTTTAATGAGCATTATAGACCTATATGTATCTTACTGTACTTTTGATGACTGATAATGTATCATCAACTATGTACCAATGTATCAACTATGTACCGTACGGACGTACGGTAACCATGAATTTTAAAACAAAGAAGGTTTATCAATCAGAACAATTTCCGGGGCATTTTCTTATCTAGTGAACACCTAGGGTAACCCACCAACCCAGTCTGCAGACTTATTTCCAGTAGGGTCCTTCAGGTGGTGATTGGCCAGTACCGTACACCAGGAGACCAACTTTAGTTTTCCGAATTTTTGTACTGCATCCTTTAACATGCACATGACCAAGGGTTTAGACTCTTCTAAAAGACACATTACAATGCTTTAGCAGCAACACAAGGAGAGCAGCAGATGGGATTGAACCGGGTACCCAAGGTTAACAATGGATCTCCATGGTTCTGCACACACAGTGGCTACCACCAGATTAGCTAAGATACTCACATTGTACAAATTCTACAAAAAAGGCCTGTCCAATGGGAGAAATTCCCCCTGCTGTCGCCTCCCCTGTTCACATGTATAAGCTGATATAAAAGGCTCTCTCTGGCTTTGCTATTCAAAAGAGAGTCTGATAAATCATAAAATAAAAACAATAGTAAAAAAAACTGGAATATTACCAGATCTTGCAATTTCATACTTAGATGTTTGATGTACAGGAAAAAGGAGATGGCCAATGACATCATGACATATAGCCAATATGGGTCATGCATTGTGTTTCTTTTTCTGGTCTAACAAAATTAGGTTAGGTCTGGTTTATTAATGAACATAATAATAAACTTTCAATCGTAGTATATATAACAAGTTATTACTGCTACCTTTTCTACTATTCTGCAGATGAAGTTATGTCTCTATTGGAGTGTTGTGGTGCCAGTATTTCAGAACTGTTAGATGACCATGTCTCTTATATTATTGTTGAGGAGGATACTAAAAAAAATTACAATGGTAGGTGTATTGCTGTATTTAGAAAATATTATTTTATGCATCCAAATTATATTTGTGAGTGCTGTATCATCTGAATAGCTTGATAACATACATGAAGCAAAATAAAATCAAATGACAAAAAGGAAGCATGGCCACACTCTTCAGGTGAAATACAAAACATGATTCCATTTGCTAGCCATATAATACAGTGCTGTAGTAAATACAAATGAAGTACTGTAACGAAGAACATTTTATATCGTCATTGCGGACTTTATACTCTATGTATGGACTGTACCATTTATTCCATGTTATTCATTTTGCTTAACATATTCGCATTCACATAAAATAATAGCATCTTAATGGAATGTTGTGTTTACAGTGATGTAAAATTAAAATAAAAAACATGAAAAGGGTCATGAAGTAAGCATAGCTTTTAAGCACAAGACCCGTCTAAATTATGCATTGTATAAGTCTGCAATGAGAATACATGTTCAAGTTGTTTTGTCATTTTATATATTTTGTCATATATTTTTATAATAATATACTACAAAATTTAACTTTTTCTTTGGAAAAGATGATTGCCTATTATTTTTTATTATTAATATTGCCATTATATATTAAATTAATAATTTTATTTATTTATTTATTCATATGCATATGCAGTAGAGTGAACAAACTGTGGCTAAAACGACTGCCATTAAATCCCACGGTTCGCTGTGAAATTTGTCTGATGCCAGTTTTTTTTTTTTTTTCTCATGGTAAAACCTTTACAGCTTTAAAGCTTTTTATGAGACTGCTGTGTAGAACATCTTGTGCTTATTGTTTGCCAATTTTTAATCCTTGGTTATTTGCCTGCTGAACTATAATACTTTATTTATGTGTTTTTACAGAACTGTACAAGAAATATCGTATACCATTTATATCCATTTATTGGGTATTAGACAGCATATCGACATACACCATCCAACCAATTGATAGTTACAATTTATCTCAAATGAAAAAGATAATTGAAAGTGAGAAAGACGATGAGACATCAGTTGATGAGCAGAGGAGATTTAAGCACAAAAGAAAGAAAATTGAAAGTGAGAAAGACTTAGATGAGACATCAGATGACGAGCAGAAAAGGCATAAGCACAAAAGAAAGAAAAGTGAAAGTGAGGAAAATGAAACATCAGATGAGACTTCAGATGATGAGCAAAGGAGACATAAGCCAAAAAGAAAGAAGAAAATTGAAAGTGAGAAAGACTTAGATGAGACATCAGTTGACGAGCAGAGGAGACTTAAGGACAAAAGAAAGAAAATTGAAAGTGAGAAAGACTTAGATGAGACATCAGATGACAAGCAGATGAGACATAGGCACAAAAGAAAGAAAATTGAAAGTGAGGAAAATGAAACATCAGATGACAAGCAGTTGAGACATAAGGCCAAAAGAAAGAAGAAAATTGAAAATGAGAAAGACTTAGATGAGACATCAGATGACGAGCAGAAGAGACATAGGCACAAAAGAAAGAAAATTGAAAGTGAGGAAAATGAAACATCAGATGACGAGCAGTTGAGACATAAGCCCAAAAGAAAGAAGAAAATTGAAAATGAGAAAGACTTAGATGAGACATCAGATGACCAGAAGAGGCGGCATAAGCACCAAAGAAAGAAAATTGAAAATGAGAAAGACTTAGATGAGACATCAGATGACGAGCAGAGGAGGCATAAGCACAAAAGAAAGAAAAGTGAAAGTGAGGAAAATGAAACATCAGATGAGACTTCAGGTGACGAGCAAAGGAGACATAAGCCAAAAAGAAAGAAGAAAATTGAAAGTGAAGATGAGACATCCGAAGATGACATGCAACATATAACATGTAAGAAGTTCAAGCAGAAACAACATTCTTTTAAGGTGAGGATAGGGTACAAACACAAGATTAAGAAAGGCAAAAAGCACAAGTTATACAAACAAAAAAAAGGTCGAAAGTACAACGTAGAAAGCAGTGGGGATGAGATAACTGTTCAGACTGTGACAAAAAAGAAAAATGGTAAGAGAGTTTGGGATCGGAAACAGTACTGTTACTATTGCGGTAAAGCAGATTTTAAGATAGTTCGACATTGGTGTACATGGCATAAGGAAGAGGAGTTAGTGATGGAAATAGAAGCGTTATCATTAAATACAACAGCAAGAAATGAGAAGATAGCAATCCTTAGAAACAAAGGCAATCTTAAACATAATTTTTTAGTATGGGAAACGGGTAGTGGCCAAATTATTCCCAGAAAAAGACCAAGTTTTATTTCAGATGCTGATGATTACGCCCCATGCCTGATATGTTCTGGTCCCTTTAGGAGGAAATGGCTAGCAAAGCATGAGAGGGTGTGTGCTAAAAAACATGGTCGGGAAAGGCAAAAAAGAGTGCAGGCAGCTGCCAAAATGATCATACCCTACGAAGAAGAAGCAGCTTTTGACATACTGAAAAAAAAGGTGTTGTCAAGAATGCAAGCTGGTAAAATTTCCACGCAAGTTAGAAGGGATAGAGATATCCTGATCTATGGATCTAAGTTGATAAAAACACGACCTGAGGACCATAAATCTTTGGCAGTGTCTCAGAAAATGAGAGATCTCGCAAAATTAGTAATAGCTGCTCAGGCTGAAGATCAATCAATTAAAAGTATAAGAGACTGCATTGATCCAAAGAAATTTTGCACAGTTGTGACTGCAGTTAAGAAAATAGCAGGATACTCAGAAAAAGATAATAAATATGAGACTCCTTCTTACGCAAGGAATATTGGTTTTGAGTTGAATAAGGTGGTCGATCAACTCTTGGCAAAAGCTCTACAAGATGACACAACAGAGAGTATACGACTAAGCAAGAGGCTAAATTCTTTTCATGACATAAAGCTGGCAGAGTGGTCTTCTGAAATATCGGGGATTGCTCATCACACCCTAAATAAGCGTAAGAGGAATAAGCCAAAAGTTTTGCCTCTAGCTGATGACTTGAAGAAGTTGAATGCTTACTTGGATAACCATATTGACAAGCACGAAGAAGCACTGAAGAAAGATCACACCTCAACAAAGGATTGGTTAGAACTAAGTCAAGGACTACTGGCACGTGTGTCTCTATTCAACAAGCGTCGCTCAGGTGAAACAGAAAGGCTTAATTTGGAAGACTACGTAAAGGGTCTAGATGCAGATGATAATATACCAAAGGAAATTTTTAATTCACTTACAGAAATAGAAAAGGCTCTTGCGTTGAAGCTTCAAAGAATTGAAGTGGCAGGGAAACGTGATAGGAATGTTCCCATTCTGCTTACAAATAGCATGGTCAAGCAAATCAACTTTCTCAATCAAACCAGAAATTCGCTGGTGTAAGTGAAGATAATCCATATGTGTTTGCACGTCCATATTTTGGATCACTTTTCCCTACTAAAGTGTCTGAGTGTTACCAGAAATTCTCAGCTGCATGTGGTGCTCAGAATCCAGAAATGATCCGGTCAACAAAATTACGAAAGCATGTAACAGTTATGTCACAGTTGCTAAGTTTGAAAGATAATGAATTAGACCTGCTTGCTACATATATGGGCCATGACGTAAGAATACATAGGGAGTTTTATCGACTGCCCGAAAGTACTCTACAAGTAGCAAAAGTGTCCAAAATACTAATAATGATGGAAAATGGAACCATGGGTGATAATAAAGGAAAGTCTTTGGACGAGATAGATATTCCACTCGAAGACAGTAAGTTTAATTTCACAATATTTTTATTACCTACTGTAATCATTATTATATATGGTAGTATGATGGCATTATTTTTTATTTTCAAAGCGTGCGATTGCATGATTACTTTCAATGATTATTGTTCACTTTGTTGCAGCTGATGATGAAGGTGATATGATGGGATTATTTAGACAAGATGCAGGTTTGTGTAATTATTGCCAACAATTAAATTTTATCACATGAGTGTATGTCAATTGAAAAAGAAACTTCCACCATGTATGGAGGGAATTTATTTTAATAAAAAAATTTAAAGATTGGTCATACTCTCTCTCTCTGGGCCGATTCGGCTTATTCAAGTCATTAGCCTTACAACGATACGTCGCCAGTTTGCCCTTTCATAGTCATCATGCATGAGAGTGTTTATAGTTTTGTTTATGGGTTTTAGGTCTGTGTTTACTTGTCTTGTCCATGTGTGTTTTGGTCGTCCTCTATTTCCTTGGTCATACTACAAGCAATTTATATTTAAAAGTTAGCATTAAATTGAATGAAGAATTATTATTTTCACTTTTAGTTACTGCTGGTGATGAAAGTGGTTCCTTAGAGGAAATTATCCAAGATATACCCATAGGTTTGTTTAATCTCTAGTCAATATTGTAGAGCTGTTCATGATACATACATAAATATAAACTAATTGCAACATTCTTACTAGGTTTTTTATAACTAATGGTTAAACATTTGGATTACTTTTGACATTGCATATATCACATGTCCAAATCTAACTACTGTCTAACATCCATTGTGTTGGGTGCACTCATTTGCATGTTATGCCCACCACCTTGATGTTAAGCGTTTGAGCTGCTATCCGCATCTGCGCATACACTGTTTAAGATTTCCATGAGCCATGTCATTTGTCATGTCTATTGTTTGCAGTTATGTATTTTACAGACTGATGGTTTGTCTTCACCGGTAGCACTGACTTTAGTTTGGAAGGGTTACAGCTAGTTGTTATAATAACTAAATAACAAACAAAAATGTTGTAAAATTATTTATACCATATTATTGAAGATTTGATTTTTTGTTTTTGTATTAGGGCCATCCAGTGCAGTTGTTAGCAAGAAGTCACATAAAGGTAATTACTTTCTATTCTCATTTAAAACATGGGCTCATAGATTTTCTATTAGCATTTTTTTCTAAGCTGTTTTTACAGGTCCAAATATATTCGAGTATTAAAGATTGCTCGCTCACAATAAAAAGAGAATTAATCAATTTCACAATAATTTCAGTTGGACTCTTAAAATCCCAGAATGCATCCCATATGAGCAATGAATTTCCTGTCTCTTATACACATCTAGATGTGTATAAGAGACAGGCTTTTGACATATTTTTTAAATACATTAATTTCTATATTAAGTTGATTACATTTATGTTACTACAAAATGGGTAAGTTAATTTTAACTTTTTTTTTTTGGTATTTTGCAAGGGACAATACATCTTTATAAAATAATTATAATTACAATTTATATTTTATTTTAGTTTTATTAGAGCAGATGATGTGAGAATAAACAGTTTATACTCTGCATATACTGCAACAAGGTAGTAGAGTAGCTACCATTGTTGGTCTGAACATATCATAAACGTCTGTTAAACAGCACCTACCTCTATTTAAAAATACACCTGTAGGGAAAATTTCCCGACGATAAATAAACACAAACTGTACTAGGTAAATGCAAGAAATAAAGTTACCTTTACCTAGTACCGTTCATGTTTATTTATCTGCGGGAAATTTTCCTTTTTCATTTGACTTATTGACAGCTGCAGTGTGTAATCTTTCTCCTATATTATGATTATTTTTACCTTTTTTGATGACCATTAGACTCATTCAAGTTTTTTGGTTGATTGGCTGATTGATTGACTATAAACAGGGGTACTATATTTGATGTATTTTTTAATTTTACAGGGTTTCTGTCAAGGTGTTACCTTTTAATAAAGACCTTCTACAGTGGAAGGAGAGGGGCATAAGTAAATTAATAGTTAAAGTCAGCTTAAAAATTTACTTGAAACTGTCTAAAACAAATGGAGACATTCAGTCTTTATAGGACTGAACCCTGAAGTTAATTTTAAAATAAATAAAAATTTTGTATCAAAACTGCTTCTTTCTATTAACACATTCCCCAGTGCAAGACAAAACAAGTTAATTAAAGCTGATGTAGAGTTCAAGTTTGTTAAACTTTTTTTTTTTTTAGTTTGGTTAATCTTTTTTTTGTTCTTTTCAAAATTATCCTTAACAATTTGACATTGAATAATATTTTATTGTTTTTTTATTGAAGTTTTGAGTTCCAAATACAGTATAACTTCTTTTTTTATCATTTATTAAAAATAACAACCTTCTTATATTTTGAATTTGTTCTAGAATCCCTTAAGAAGAAACCAGAAACACTGAAATGCTTCATCAGTGACATTGAATGTATTAGGGCCATCCAGTGCAGTTGTTAGCAAGAAGTCACATAAAGGTAATTACTTTCTATTCTCATTTAAAACATGGGCTCATAGATTTTCTATTAGCATTTTTTTCTAAGCTGTTTTTACAGGTCCAAATATATTCGAGTATTAAAGATTGCTCGCTCACAATAAAAAGAGAATTAATCAATTTCACAATAATTTCAGTTGGACTCTTAAAATCCCAGAATGCATCACATATGAGCAATGAATTTCCTTTTGAAAGACAAATAAATATTTTGAATCTTGGTCTTGCTTCATCTTCTGTAGCCAGTGTTGTTCATATTGATGTACAGTATTAAGCCGAGCCTACTGATTAGGCTTAACTTAATGAAATAAAAATAGGTGTTTAATTAAAACATTTGTTCAAGCCACATATTGCACCCTTTCAAGAATGGTCATGATAGTTAATACCAACAACCCCTGTTTGCCACAAAATATAGAAATAATGTCTGGTTTGGTTTACAACCAATGATATAATATTTTTTAAAGATGGTACTGAATCGCTTGCTTTTGCATATATGTAGGTTATATAGATTAAACATTAGTAAAGTTGATTATTAATAGGTCATGCATAAAAAAAATGGGGCTGGGCTTATACCTGGGTAATTTACTAAAATACAGTTAAACTTGCCGTTGAATCCAAAATGCCACTGAAAAATTGTTCGACTTAGATAAAATTTGACTTACAAGTTTAATTTTACTTTAAAGCAATGTGCGTAATAATTTACTACAGTTGATGAGCAATAAAAGACAGCAAATCTTTAGTTACAGTGATTATAATTAGAGACCAGTGCTGTTAAAGACAAAACGGAGACCCAAAAGTGGAGGGAGACTTTAATTATAATATTTTTTGTTCTTTAGTTACAAAAAAAAGGGATTACTCGACAAGACAACCCTGGACTGTAGAGGAAAAGACTGCTGTTTTAGAATATTTCAAAGATCACATATGGTCAGGTGTCACACCAAACAAAACCCAGGTTGAAGAAGCACAGAAGATGTTTCCAATTTTAATACAACGGTCATGGTCCAACATTAAAGACTTTGTAATAGCGGAAAGACGAAGACTAATTAAAAAACTACAGAAATAACAATAATTTAAAAAAGTGGAGGTAGGATAAAAAAGTGATATAAACACTTCAAGAAAGATATTGAATGTTAATATTACTTTTATTATTATTTCATAACAAATCAGAAAGACAACAACTTTTGACTACATTATTATCTATTTTCAGCTCAATTTCGTAACATTTAATTGAATTCAATTCAAACTTTCAAAATGCATTTCCATACAACAGAAAATTGGAAGGAAAATAAGATAATAACTGCGTATCAACAAATATCATTCTCTATATTTATTACGATGTTATTTCAACTAGTGGAACAGACAATTACAACTGGCTATAGCATGTGTCAAATTTGTATTTTTGATGTATACTCAACACACATATCTAATGAAGACTAAATACAATAGAAAAGGCTGGTCTTTCGCAAGACAGCTGTGGTAGGCCTGGATAGTGACAGATAACAAAAAAATCAAGGAATATGTGTGATGGACAGATTGACTGAAAAGTTAATTATAGCATGGAGGTATTATTGAGAAGGAGATCACTCGAAAAAGCTCCGCGCGCGTAACGCTATGCAAATGAGCCAAGAACAAAGGTGCCGCAGCACGTGAAGAACATTTACGCGATCCTTTGATGTCCAATGTGTTCCCCGCCACAAGTTGCTCTGCGGGATTAGTTTAGCAAAAAATTGAACACGGCGAAATGGAGAGGCCTTTCTTTTTTCAATGCACACTGCTTACAGTCAATCGCTACGGATGCGCAATAAATTCCACCTTAAAGCTAATACATTTATCTTTAAAACAATACCAAACATATTAATATTTTATACAAAAAAGAGTTCAGAATTTAATGAACATTTACACGTGCCTTAAAAGTATGGTATATTTCAACTTAAATTTTCATAAATTGGATAAAACTTGATAATTCTAATTTTAACATTAATTAAGGAATGATTTGAGGATTATAATAGCTGTCTCTTATACACATCTAGATGTGTATAAGAGACAGCTGTAGTTGGTGCATCAGTAGTAGATGATTCTGTTGTTGGTGCATCAGTAGTAGATGAATTTTAAAGATATTTAATGAATTAACATCAAACGCTGTTGTTGCCAGGTTGTTGCTAACGAAAAATATGTTAATAATAAGGTAGACGCCCGCGCGCGATCCAAAAGCGGGGAACACATTGGTTTGTCGCGTTCAAAGGGATCCGTTGCCGAGTGATCTCCTTCTCAATAATACCTCCATGGTTATAGCGATGCTCTGAAATACATTCGTTGACTATTTATCTTGTTGAGTATATAAACCGTCATACAGTATGTCTGACTCAGCCTCATTCATTCATTGGCAACTTTAGTGTCGTAAGACCAGTCTTGTAAGACTTTGAATTCATACCCATATGAAATTGGTAATAATGTAGTCAAAAGTCATAGATTATTGTAAATATGCTAGTCATTTTAGGTCACTTGTTAATGACCTCATGTTGTTAAAATTAAAAATTTACTCTTGACTGAAGGTTTTTTTTATATGTTGTGGAAATAGACATTCTAAGATCATTGGGGGGGGGGGTGTTTGAGGACAAAATCTGTAACACTAAATTTAATATGAATTAGAATTACTCCTTCACTTCTCATAACCTCCCCACGATGTAATATAACCGTCTATAGTTCATTTTTTTTTATGATGGCAATGGTATACTTAAATAAATGTAAAACAGTATCATGTATGTGTATGTGCCGTCGTCGTCGTCGCCACCACAGTAATAAATATCAGCCCAAACAAAGTACCCTCCCCTGGGGAGGCTAATTAATGAAATGTTAAAATTTAGGCAGTGGCTATGTTTACAACGAGTCGAAAATAATGTCACAGGCTACGATTACGACGATACAATGGCGCATGTGTACTTGCCCGTTTTCGCCGGCTGTATGTGTTTCGTGATGCGAGTCATATGCAATAAACAGTGGTAAGAATATTCATTGAGGTAAGATCATGGAAGTATAAACGAAACCAAGGAGGTATAAAATAAATAATTTATATTATACCTCCTTGACGAAACTTACTAAGCTAACGTTGGTGCTGTTAATCAATTAATAACTAGCCTACTCTATTATTAATATACTACTAGCGCTACAACTGTTGTTTAGGCCCACACCAGCCTACTGTATGTAGCCTGACCCACACTACTCTAGCCTAGCCTATGTGCTTGTCTATCAATAGGAGAGCAGCTTAGCTCAGTCGGCTAATCTGGTGGAACCCCCCCTCCCCCCACTAGTTACTAGTGACGTGTGTGCTGTCTGTGTTACTGTGTATGATAGGCAAGCATGTATAGGCTAGGCTAGAGACGTTGTGGATCAGGCTACAGACAGTAGGCTGGTTTGGGCCTAACAGTTGTAGCACCACCAGTAGTATTATAGTAATAGAGTAGGCCAGTAATTAATTGATTGATAGCACTAACGTTAGTTTAGTAAGTGTCGTTTATACTTCCATGGTCTGACTTCAATGAATATTCTTTCATTGAGTTTTGAAATTCTTACTACTGTTTATTGTCTATGACTCATACAGCCGCCGAAAACAGGCGAGTATGCATGCACTGTTGTATTGTCGTAATCATAGCCTGGGACTATACAGTATTTACAACTCGTCGTAAACATAGCCACTGCCTAAAATTTAAGGGGCAAATGCATTTTCCTTCATTTTTTTGCTTTCTAAGAATTCATATTAAATTTACCATACAGATTTTGTTTTCAATATTTCTTCATCTATAGAGGAATTAATATACTGGAAGGTTCTTTATAGTGAAATACCTTCTCGTTACTACCTACAAATACATTGGATGTTATATTTTGGCATAAACCTCATTTGGTTATTCCTTTCTGCTTGAAATAAATATTGCAATATTTTGTTAGTGTTTTATCAAAATTATTTTACACAGTACCATACAAATACTCCATCAATATTTTATTAATTTAGTTTAAATTGTAGTCCCCAGTTTAAATGATAAAACTAGTGTAAAGTAGCAGTGAATGCCTATGCCTATCTCAAAATTAGAAATCAGTTTTTCTGTTGGAAAGCTATTTTCAGATGTGTAATGTATGCCCAATAAATACAAACCCATGGTTGCCATTAAAAAAAAAATATGGTAAAGAATGAAACATATTTGTAAAACAGTCAGTTTAGTACTGTAAGGTATAAGTTGTCAGTCTAAATGTAAAGGTGAATTATTGATAATGTTACAGTTGATATACTATCCTTAGTAGTTTTATTATTTTTGGGTTTCCGGTTTCTTCTTGAGGGATTCTAGAACAAATTCAAAATATAAGAAGGTTGTTATTTTTAATAAATGATTTAAAAAAAGATGTTACACCGTATTTGGAACTTGTAACACAAAACTTCAATCAAAAAATAAAATAAAATATTATTCAATGTCAAATTGTTGTCATCATCTCATTTTTTTTTGGTTGTGAGAGTAGTAAGTAGTGTCCAAGTCCTGTTGTTTTTATAATGTGAAACATTAAATGCTTTTTAAAACATTTAATGTTTAAAAACCTCTGTAATAGTCTGCATCTCCTAATAATATGATTCATGTCAGTGAGTCATTTCTGTATAAAGTATGTGTGAGGATTTTTGTCCTCCTCTTCCACACTTTTCTTATACATAATGTATCATCATCTGTGTCCATCAGGTCCTGGTCGACCCCTGGTGACATCAAGCATGATTTTTCTCGTCTGTGGCAAGTACTATAGATAGTCAAAGACTCCTTCCTGTACTAGTGGTGATTTCCTGCATCCATCGTTCGTGTACGCTGACATCCTCTTCCTCTGCTCCCTTCAGATTTTCCTAGCATTAAAGCCTTGCCAAGTCTTTCTCCCCGCATCACATGGCCAAAAAAAAAAATGTATACCCGTTTGTTTTTTCTAAATTTCCTGATTTTAATAAATATGTTTATGTGTCGAATATAGCTGTTTGGATACTTATAAAATGGTATTATGTTCTCATAGCCTTTTAAGATTCTCAGCATTTCTTTTCAAACAATTGATCTGAAATTACAAATTTAGGCCTACAATAAAGCAGACAATGAATATGGCTGCAATGCATGATTATGGGTCTTAGGCCTAGAAAAATGTAAAGTTTTTTCAAGCAATGTTGAGCGGTTCTAGGCTAGATGGTCGAAATCCAGTTTGTCCAATGCCATATTGTATTGCCGAGACCACTTTGCCGAATCCCAGTTTGCCGAAAAGTCTGTTAAAAGCAGTGAAACATTAACAGCAGCCTAAAATTCACGATGGAATACTGTACTCTCTTACTCTTACCATGGACCTATTTAATAGGAGATCAACACTAATAATGGAGATCACTAATAATATAATGCATGTAGAAAGTCATGTGTGTATGAAGTATGTGTGAGGACATTTGTCCTCTTCTACACTTTTTCTATACATAATGTATACCGATTTGTTTTACTAAATTTCTATATTTTAAATATAAATGTTTATTTGTCAATTACTGTAACAGGTATTTGGATACTTATAAAATGTTATGATGTTCTCATAGCCTTTTAAGATTCTCAACATTTCTTTTCAAACAATTGAACTGAAATTAAAAATTTAGGCCTAGGCCCACAATACAAGCAGCCAATGAATGGGACTGCAATGCATGATTATGGCTGGGTCTTAGGCCTAGAAAAGTAGTATGAAGTTTTATTCAAGCAATGGGCCATCTCAAAAGGGTTAGTGGGCATAACTGTCATTTATCAGCCTCACAATTATTTACTAAAAATGTAAAAACTTATCACAACACTGATAAATGTTAAGATATATTAAAACTATGAGAATTATTGGAATTTCAATTTTTTTTTTTGTAGAGTAAATTTTTTTTGGGCTCCTTCTTGTCTGTCATCATGACAAAAACATGGAGATCAACACTTGCATGTCAGAAAGTCGTGTGTATAAAGTATGTGTGAGGACATTTGTCCTCTTCTACACGTTTCCTATACATAATGTGTAGGTTCGTTTTACTAAATTTCTAAATTTTAAATAAATATGTTTATTTGTCAATTATAGGTACTGTATTTGGATACTTATAAACTGGTATGATGTTCTCATAGCTTTTTAAGATTCTCAACATTTCTTTTCAAAAAATTTATATGAAATTACAAATGTAGGCCTACAATACAAACAGCCAATTATTAATGGGGCTGCAATGCATGATTATGGGTCTTAGGCCTAGAAATATGTGAAGTTTTTTCAAGCAATGTTGAGCACCTCTAAGATTAATTGGCATAATTGTCATTTATATCAGCCTCACAATTATTTACTTAAAAATGTAAAAAAAAAAATTCACAACACTAATAAATATTTAGATATATTAAAACTATATGAGCAAAATTATTGGAATTTAAATATAATTTTTTTTGTAGAGAATTTATTTGGGCTCCTTGTCATCACAAAAACAGATCACTTGCATGTCAGAAAGTCATGTGTGTATGAAGTATGTGTGAGGACATTTGTCCTCCTCTTCTACACTTTTTCTATACAGTACATAATGTATACCGATTTGTTTTACTAAATTTTTATATTTTAAATAAAAATGTTTATTTGTCAATTACTGTAACAGGTATTTGGATACTTATAAAATGTTATGATGTTCTCATAGCCTTTTAAGATTCTCAACATTTCTTTTCAAACAATTGATCTGAAATTACAAATTTAATCCTAGGCCCACAATACAAGCAACCAATGAATGGGACTGCAATGCATGATTATGACCGGGTCTTAGGCCTAGAAAAATAGTATGAAGTTTTATTCAAGCAATGGGCCACCTCAAAAGGGTTAGTTGGCATAACTGTCATTTATCAGCCTCACAATTATTTACTAAAAATGTAGAAACTTATCACAACACTGATAAATGTTTAGATATATTAAAACTATGAGAATTATTGGAATATTTTTTTTTGTAGAGTAAATTTTT